AAGTTGTCTTTTAAAATTAAGGTTCTTGACTTTATCTGCTTAATGTGGACTTCCAATTTGTCTAATTATCCCGCGGCAAAGTGACCCTACCACTACTAGAAGATGGAACATTCGTTTATTTACAATAATAATATATACGCAGTTCATGTTCAAAAATAATAAAATAAATAAATAAATAAATAAATATACGCAGTTCAATAAAACCAAAATTTATGCTTTGGATATATAAATTAATTAAAGAGTTTCATATATACTTTTTGCACAACTTAATTTTATGTGTATTAGTAAGTTATCTCGTCCAAATAATATCAAATAAGGCATTTGGATTTTTGATTCAGTGACGTCAAATCACATTTAAAGTGCATCTTCCTGTTTTAAGTAACGATTTGAATTCGACAACTTGCAAATTTATTCAAAGAAAATATATATGAAATAAGGTTTCACGTAAGGGTAATTAACAAGCGTAGTTTGTTGAAATTATTTTTGGTGATGGAAGATATTAAACCATTTTGTATGCATCTTGTTGAGGTGTTTTTGTTATTATTATTATTTTTTTTTTTGTATTCAATTAAGGAAATATTCATAACTCAAATTTTGATTAATAATATAAGAAACAAAAACCTTCATTTTTTACAAGCTTTGATTACAAGCTATCTATTTATAATAAGAAATATCATTACTTGCCTAAAGATCCAAATATATATATATATATATATTATTCTTATCTATCTTTTTTAGTTGGCTATATACTAATCCTATCAAAGTATAATCAATCCCTTTAAGATCTGTTTGTATTATAGATGCCTTGATTGGTAGAATTAATTAATTAATTAATGAGTATAACTATAACTCCCATTTTGCATTGCACTTGAGGGGTGACCTGCTTTTGGAGGCAGAGAAGTGCGTGCCTTTGAGCATTTCATTCTTTTAGTTTAAAGAAAGGCGTATATAGTACATTAATTTGTAGAAAGGATAGAAATAGAATGGATCCAATACTGTTTCTTTTCCACAAAGGGAGTGAACACAGATCATAATCAAACATATAAAATTCTCATTCACCTCACCCCCTCGAAATGCAGAACCATAATGTAAAGTACTTCTTCCTCTTTCCGGAGTACATTGGGAAAGATTTTCCAATACATTAGTTACCCTAATCAATGCTCCCCACAAAAAAAAAAAAAAAGGTTTGATGGGTCTTATGGTATGGTATGGTAGAGTTCAATATATTGATGTTTATGTTAATATAAAGAATAAAAGTTTATTTATATATAAATTTTATCAATTATGTTTATATAAAAATTTTATATATCATATTACAAATCGCTTAATAGATTAAATTATTGAATGAATAGAATTTTAATTAATATCATATTTTTTGATTGACCAGTAATATATCAACTTAAAAGTTAAAACTAACTATAATTGTTTATGAAATTAAAGGAGGGGGAAAAAAACCGTTGAGATCTAAAATTTTCAAGTAAAAATGGAGAAAAAAGAGAGATATTTTCGCAGATTTGTTGCGAAGGATTGGCCAAAAGGGTTTAGGCTCCCAAAGCTCCCCCATCATTGTCACTGAAATATATAAAGTTCATTTTCTGGGATTAATAAACCAATAGTGATTAGAACTTAGGAAGCACTATCAGTAAAAATAAGAGCTAACTCTATCTGTTGAATTTATTAACAAATAAATATTATTTTATAAGATAAATTTAATATTTTAAATTAATAAATAAAAATTAATTTTTTTTCAATGCAAAGAGTGGATTTGAGGGAAAGGCTTTAATTGTTTCAAAGAAAACTTAATTTTAGAATACATAAATTAAAATAAGTGCAACAATACTTAAACATTCTGTAATAATAAACAAAATAATTTATTTGATATATATTTTAAAAATATAAGTTAAGTTTATCAACGACCTAAATAATTCAATAATAATTTTTTTTGATGAAAATAAGATATTTTGAGTTTGAGTCGCATGACATACATGTAAAATAAAATAAGAAATTGATGATGGTTGCTTCTCTTTGTGTAATTATGATAAAAAAATAAAATATAAATTAAATCTTATTAATTATGATATTTATTATTAATTTTATAAAAAAAAATTTATATTAAATTCATACATATTTATAGATTTTACATTTAAATATTATATTATATTATATTTTAATTAAATTCAATATAAAATTTTATATAAAATCAATTATAAATATTACATTTAATAAAATTTAAATTACACCTTAAAAATATATATTAAAAAAATCCCTACACAAAAAGGGTACGAACAACAGGGCAAAAGCCACCAATGTCTCCCCAGTCACCAAATTGCTTATCTTTGCTTAAAAGTATAGATCGCACTATTAGGTGAAAATATTTTATGAAAAAAAAAATGCTGTACTAAGAAGAGTGGAGGTTGTTCCTTTATTGAGTTTGGTGAACTATAATCAGTAAAATAAAGAAGAAAAAATTATTGCAGGGCACGTTGCTAATAATCATGATTTTATTTTAATAATTATCTCTTATTTCATTTCTTTCCTATATTATACCATTCGAATTTAAAATTTTTTGTTTTTAACAAAAAAAAATAATTATTAAATAAATTAAATCGTTAACATTAATAATCATGATTAATTATTTTTTTAACAAGATTAATGAATGAGAAATGTAGTTTAGAATCAGCAGTGTCGTACCTCCACAATGCAATTTGCAAGGTTTAATCCTGATTGGATCATGCTTAAACCAGCATGTGCGATTGTTAACTAGAGACAAAGGAATCTCAACATTCCTTTATTATAATTCGTTGGTTTGATTATTAAGTGAGTTTTTAATGGTTGTTTAAAAGGCTTGAAATCATTGAGGTGGGCAAATTAGTTCTGATCTTAACAGGCCTGTTATTATATACCAACAAAATGTCATTATATTTTTATGGTACTGCAGCACGAAATAATGCATAATTCATGCCAACTGGGACTGTGACTCAATTGGTTGGTTCTCAAGTTTTAGGGCTTGGGTGAGGCGGAAGTCAGGCTTCGAGCTTTGCCACCGCCGTGAACTTCACCAACTTGCGACCTAATGGTCACGCGCCTCAAATGAGGGGGTAGAACGTTCACTTTCCTGCACATTAGCTAGGAAATTCACAACAAAACTTTTTGGTTGTTGTCTCTACTTGTGTGGCTACTAAGAGCAAAAGCAAAGAATATCTCTCCCTTTCAACAATCCAAGCAAAGCCCAAATCCAATTAACACTAGTTTTTGTTTTTTTAAATAACTTGTTAGTATTTGATAATCACATTAAATTTTAATTAATTAAAAATCAAGTTACATAAGATCACATAAAAAAAAATTCTTTCAATACTTATTTTTTTATTTATAAAATTTAAACTTAAAATTTTATTTTAAAAGAATTAAATTTTTTTCACTCCAACTCACAAACCATTGGATAACATTAATTTTTGTAGTGAAGCTAAAAGATCATTGTTAGTACTTAATAAACCCATGTTAGGCCTCCAAACAATTTGAGCAGAGGACAGGAGACGGTAGCGGTGGCACTGGTGGATAGGAGTTCTGACTTAGGAGCCCCATGTTGACGTTAATTATTACAGTTCAATTAATTTGGACGGCCCTCACCACAAATCCTTTTTGGCTGACTCGATCTTTCCAAGCTACTCGTGACCAAATAAATTGCTTTATCATGTGATAAATATTGATTCCCGTGCTCAACTGGCTCTATTAATTTTCTTGTATGTATAATTTTTTATCCGTGATTCATATCAAATGTTACCTAAATAAAAGATTAAGCGCATGCACTTATTTTTTAAATCATATAAATTTAATGATCGAATTTAGATTTCTAAAACTAACTATTATTTTTTTTTTAATTTTTAAGACTTTATAATATATGATTATAAACACATAATATTTAATTTGAATTATAGGTTATATAATAGAAAATAATATTTTTATTTTTTTAATTTAAACTCCTATTTGTCTTAAAATTTGAGTTTAAAATTTTCAAATTCAAGATTTACAACTAAAAGTTTTAAATTCTTAATTAATTAACACACTCATTTTGAGCAAGATATAAGACTTGATTATTCCAATTTTATTAATACATGCTGCTGCTGAGTGCTGAATTAATTTTGCTCTGTCCTGTTCTTAACTTTTCTTAAATTTTACGAGGCAAAAAGCTATTCCCTAGTGAATTAGAGGTTGCTTGCAATCCGAATTCCAAAATGATCCACAGACAAGTTAATACCATATTATAAAGCAAATTAAGATATTGAATATATATATATATGGATAATTAAGTAGTATATACATGTTTACGACACCCGTAATAATATATATATATATATTTTTTTTTTGACAAGCACGTAATAATATTCTAATGCAAGTTGCATTCTGAGATAAGAGCTTAGTTATGTATACTGCAAGTTGTGGATATACAGATTTATAAACAATGCTAGCATTATTATGGACAGTAGGCAGGCAGAGATATCGTGATCTTCACCCAACTATCTTATGGCATTGAGGTGCCTTGAATCAAGCCATTTAGAGATAATTTAGATGCATTATGATTCTTCTTTTAATGGGACTTTTGACATTGTCAGCTTTCTAAAGGAACATAACTTTATACACTTGTCTCTTTTTGTGAAAACTTTATACAAGCGTTGGGTTAGAGGGATTGCAACTTGGAAGATACCTTTCTAAGAGCTCAGCGAGTATACTGTGTTGGCTTAAATAGTTAAAAAAATTATTTAAATTATATTAAAAATATAAATTTAAAATGTAATAAATATATTTTTTTTCTTCAAAATAATTGTTCGAATCCAACATTTTACGAATTTGTTTTAAAAAAAATTATCAATATAAAAAAATTTTCGAATAAAATAACTAGTTGCTCTTCACATGACGTTTTTGACTGAACTTAAATTCGAGTCATTCTCACTCTTCCATCGCAGCTAATGTAACTCTGTTAAAAAACACGTGCCAGCTCCCAACAACAATCTAAGCTGAAGTGCAAAAGCAATTTAGAGGAGTATCCAAGATTCGCGTGAACTTAATATCAGGACGAATCTGAGAGAGCATTAAGGATGCCAAAAGGAGTTGATGTGGATGGATCATGGAATGGATGCTGTTATATATATGGTCTTAGTCATCCCACCAATTTTAATATATATATATATATCAGAATCAGATTTGACACCCCCTAAAATGCTAGCGCCCGTGCCATTAGTGGAGTTCCATCAGCAAAGACAAACCCCTCAGTTCAGGTTCTTTTGGCACCAGTCAGTGCCCACTACTCACCCCCCTTGTTCTTGCTCAAATATTATAATCAATGCACCAAATACTATAATTAGGGCATGTTTGGTTTAGTTTTTAAATATTTTAATTTTTTTGACATTATACTTATTTTATAAGTTTAAATTTTACTTTTAAAAGCTTATATTTTTTAATTTTTTTGATTTTAAAAAGATTTTAAACAATAAATTTTAAAAAGTTTTAAATTTTTATTTTTTTAAAATTTTTTTTATTCTCTTTTTACTTTTTCTAAAAGTAATTTTTAAATATTCTCTCTAATAAAAATTTAAACTTATGAAACATGAACAGTGTTAAAAAAGTTAAAGTACTTACACGTTTCACTAAACATATTCTCAAACTGGTTTCTTAGTTGTCCACAAAATATCTTTTTCTCCTTGCTAAATGCCAAATCTCAATTATTTGTTAAATAAAAAATGTAAAATATTTGGTTCATGCAAAATAATGGGTGAGAAACTGAGAATATCAGAATATCTTCTTACTGTTACAATAAATAAAATGGGACTGTTCCTAATAACTATCTCTGATTCTCTTGCGAATTTTGGACTTGGATACCATCATACTAAACGCCTACTTGGGTCTCCATTAAGGGGAAAAAATAAAAAATAAAAAACATTCTTGGGTTGGGTCCATTGTTTATCTTGTATCATGCCGTTGAAGAAAAGGAGTCCATTCCCTGCATCAGCGTAATGGGCCTGAGCTGTACCTGTACAGAATGCTGATGGGTCAATCCTGTCTCGAGCTCAATTTCCCTTCACGTCAACTTGTAGTATGCTTAGGTTGAGAGCAGCAATACCACAGAAGAGAAGGGAGTGGAAGGAAAAAAAAAAAAAATTCTATTTGATTATTAAAAGAATTAAAAGAGAAGAGAGAGAAGACAAGTTTTTTACATTTTTTTTATTTAAAAAAAAAAAGAAGAGAGATGGCATACTTCCTTTCCCTTGACAGAGTTTGGACTTGTGAAACCAACTAAGGGTGCGACCAACCGGGCCTGAGGCCCAATGATTGGTCCCCCAAGTTTTAGGCCCAATTATTGGTTTTCAAGGCAGAGGTCAGGGCTTCGAACTCTACCATCGTTTGAACTCCACCAACTTGCGACTTAATGGCTGCGCATCTCATATGAGGAGGTGAAATGTTCACCATTCTGGGAAATCCCAACTGCTAACAAACTAACTCTACTAACTTCCTAACTATTACCCTTGTGAAAAAAAATAATAATAAGGATGCATTTTGTACGGGTGAGAGTTTTTTTGTGTAATCACATAATATTTTTAGATATATGTGTATTTGATAATTTTTTTTAAATTATTTTTTTATTATAAAAAATCTTAAGGAGCGTTTTTTAGTACGGGTGAGAGTTTTTTTGTGTAATCACATAATATTTTTAGATATATGTGTATTTGATAATTTTTTTTAAATTATTTTTTTA